CATATTTAATTCAACTTGAAATGTTTTTATTTAATAAAGAATGTTTATAAAAACATTTCAGCTGAATTTTATGGAAGTTCTGTTTACTACTGTTGACAACATTATTGTTTGCTTTTTTAGTTTTTCTTTGATAGAGTATTTACAAGTAATCATTTCATGATTGTAAAGTTTTTCTTTTTCATTAGTTTCAATAAGAGTACACTTTGAAATTGACAAGTCAATACAAGTACTTGATTTTTCAGATATTATTATTGGTTTACTGTTGAAAATATACATTTGATTATTTTTGCTATAGTGCTGTAGAGTGTTTGTCATTTGAAAGTGTATTTATGTCAAAGTCACCAAGAATGATAATAATTTTTGAACGAATTGTAGTAATCCAAGTATCCAAAAACTCCAAGAATATGGTTTTGTTCTTCTGTGGAGATTTATACAAAACACTAAAATGAAACTTAGTTTTGTTAATGACTAGTTCAGTAGATAATAACCAGTGACACTTGTCTTTAGCGATAGATATAGGATCAGAATTTACTTTAATGTCATTTTTATAATATAATATACAACCACTGGTATGAGCACTTGATGATTCTAAATTTATAAAAGAATAACAAAAAATTTCAAGCTCTTTTTCAAAGATTAAGGGTGTTATGAGGGTTTCAGTTAGTCCAAGTATATGAGGTTTAAATTTTTGTACATATAGTGTAACTCTGTCAAGTTTATTTATGAGACCATTTATATTTGCATATGCAATTTTAATGTCTTTTACTACTTTTGATTGCTAGTTGTCATACTTTAATTCCACTCAATTTTTAATGTCATTATATACTAGACATTTTTTATCGAATGCACAATGTTGAGGATCATCATTAAATTGAATTTTTTGTTTTTGTTAAGGCATTTAACACACCAATTACTTTTGTGATTTTGACAATCTTTACTGCAATGATCACATGAACAGTAGCAACATGAAGGAGTATTTTTTGCTATATGATTGTGACCTTAACAATAGTAACATTGAATAATATTTATGTTTTCTAATTTGCACAGACTCCCAGCCAATTGCTAATCTACCATTTTTCTTATTTATAATGTATTCAAATGTGTTTATATCTATATCAGCTATAACCAGTTCATATTTATTCTTTGTCATGTTAATTCTTTTCACAACTATGACTTTAGCCTTGATTTTTCATCATTGCACCACTTCATTATTTTGATTTCGAATATGTTGAATTTCTACTCCTAATTCTTTTAGTCTTATTGTCCATAATCAACTTCTTTGTGTTAATTTTATTCTGATTGTTAATTTTTTTGACAACAATTTCACAGAATGTCCTTTCAGATATACTATTTACATTGCTTGATATTATTGGGATTTGTTTTATTTTTATTTTATTATGCAACTCTTTTTTTATTAACTCATTTTCAATTTTTAGTTCTGTGTTTAGTTCTGTGTTTTAGTTCTGTGTTTTAGTTCTGTGTTTTAGTTCTGTGTTTTAGTTCTGTGTTTTAGTTCTGTGTTTAGTTCTGTGTTTTAGTTCTGTGTTTTAGTTCTGTGTTTTAGTTCTGTGTTTTAGTTCTGTGTTTTAGTTCTGTGTTTAGTTCTGTGATCTCTTTATTTAATATTTTGTTATCAGTATATAATTCTTTTATAAATGTTTCAGTTTCACTTTTTTTTATAGTTTTTATTCATTTTTAACAAGTTTTTTTTCACATTTGAAACAAAACCATATAACTTGTTTTTTTTAGTTTTGTCATTGCATTAAAGTCATCATTAGTGAGTTTACTACATTTAAGATGACACCATTCTTTACATACTCTACATTCAACACTTTTTTCATGAATACTAATTTCACATTCAATGCAATTAAAGACTGAGGTTTTTAAGTTCGATATTGAATGAATCTTCATCTAATTTATCAGCATTATGTGGGCTTAAGTGTTTTTTTGTTTTTGTCACTCTCACCTTTTATTTGTACAAAATCAAAGTTTTGAATAATTACAGTTACAAGATAATAAGTCGATCTTAATGAATTATTCATGCAGCTATAGATATAATTTGATATTCATAAGAATCCAAATACGTTCCTGCCACAAATTGTTACAATAGTTACAAATATTTAAACTTAAAGTTTGTATATTTGTAACTATTGTAACAATTTTTAGTTTGAATGGCCATTTTTCCTCCCATTAATATTTACAGTTTATAAATATTAACGTCTTATTACATGGGGACTAAAAAGTTTCAGTATGTGATTTTTTTCCGTCCATGATAAAGATGATATCTTGATTCGATTGTTGCTTGATTCAAGATCTCATCATTGTGATGAAATTTTTCAATTTTTTAAAAATTTTAAAAATTTCCAATGATATCTTGAATCAATCATTAACTCAATGGTCAATGGATCTATGTGATGATATTGATGTATATATATATATATATATATATATATATATATATATATATATATATATATATATATATATATATATATATATATATATATATATATATATATATATATATATTAGGGTGAGTCATAAAATTTTTTTTTAGAGTTGCTAACCTGGCTATGGTCTAGAAAGTTGTTTTTTTATGTACTAATTTAGGAAAGTATTTACTTTTATGGATTGAACAATGTCTTCTTATTATTCAAAAAAAAAGTTTTTCAAAATTATGTGATGTAGATACTCAAATAAAGCAGAATTTTTTAAAAATTTAAAAAAGAATAATTTTTTCATATAAAAATTATTATTTTAGATTTTTTTGCATAATAGCTATAGTTTTTTAACTAAAAGTGAAAAAGGTGCATTTTTACATGTTTTTTAATGACAATTTTTTTCGGCAATATAATTTTTTTAAAATGATTATTATTTTTAAATTTTTTATAAAATTTCGCTTCTTTTGAGTACCAGGTTGACCTACTTTTGAAAAACTTTTTTTCTCCAAAATATTAGGGTACCAGTAATTTTCCCAATAAAGTTGCGCTTTTTAAATCTATCACAATCATTCTCATATTTGATAGTATCAATATTAATAACTATTAGCAATGTTTAGAGCCTGTAACAAGAAAAAAAAAATTTATGACCCACCCTAATATATATATATATATATATATATATATATATATATATATATATATATATATATATATATATATATATATATATATATATATATATTTTTTTTTTAACATCTTCACTTCCAACAAGGCTGCAAGCAACCACTATAAGAGTTGGAAGTTACTGGAAGAGAAAAGACTAAATCTGTAGAGCAAGATAACGATTGACTGATGACTTAAAAGATTGCAAATTATATGAATCAGGAAAGCAAGATGAAGGAAGCGAATTCCAAAGAACTGATGTTCGAGGAAAAAAACTAGAAGAATAAGAGTTTTTGAAGCACTTAGGAACAGTCACAGAAAAAGGATGAGACTTAATTGAATGGCGAGTAACACGAGAATGAATTTTAGTAGATGGCACAAGGGACGCTAGCTCTTTGGAGCAGTGCCCATTATAGTATTTGTAGAAAAGAGAAAGAGAAGCAACATTACGACGATGTGACAAAGGTTGGAGATTGACTGCCAGAGCAGGTCCAACTATGTTTACAATTCGTTTTTGCACCTTGTCTAAAAGAGAAAGAGTATCATTAGAAGATCCGCCCCAGATGTGGCAACAGTATTCCATACAAGGACGGATTTGAGATTTATAGAGATAGAGAATAGAATCTGGAGTAAGAAAGTGTCGAGCTCGATAAAGAGATGCAACCTTAGCAGATGCTAATTTTGCAATGGATTTGATATACGGTTTAAAAGAAAGATCAGAAGTAAGAGTTAATATATATATTTATACATCAATATCATTTTTTCTAAGAATCATTTAATATTAATATTTTTCATTAATAATCTATAAATCATTACTCTAAAAACTTCTGAAACAAATTTAGTAGTATCATTAAAAAAATAATTTTTACTCACTTGCATGAGTCAAATTTTATTAACTCTCCCAAAAATATATCTGAATTGTTTGCAAAGAGTTTTTAAACAATTCAATATTTTTCAAGACATTTTCATTACTTCATACTTTTATGGCTAAAATTGTTTCTTAATATTTTTTACAGCTTGTGGTTCCCACAATATTTTTGTTCATAATCTTGAAAAAGCCAGAAGTCACTTCTGTACTCTATATGGAAGCTATTTAATGAGATTTTTTTATTCTTGTTTTTCTATATTTTTAACGAATTCATTTGCAACAAGGCTGCAGGCAATCACAATTTAAGTTTATAGCTAGTGATGTGGGTAGGGTGACCATTTTTCTAGTTTTTACATAGGAGAGACCAGTGCTAAACTAATTAAAATTAGTTTAGCGCTGCACTCTCCTACATAAAAACTGGGACAATGGTCACCTTAGATATGGGAACTAAAGAATGCAGTTAAAATGCAAGAAACCAACAGAAAAATTAAAAAGCTTTAGATTATATGAGTCAGAAAAGTATCAATATTTTTTTTAATTTAAAAAATAAATGCTTGAGTTTATTGCATTTTTTTTATTTAAAGTTTAACATTATTTAACAAATGATATATATTTTTTTAACATATATTTTAAAAATGATATGAGATAAATGTTTTTTCTGTTTTATACATTTTTATTCTTTTGACTACTTTTGATCGTAGTTTCACACAATACAGGCAATCTCAGATCACTGATTTTGTAGAGAAGATCTAAATAAGTTTCTTCATGTTTATAATTTTTTTTTAGCATAAATAGGGTGACCATTGTCCCAGTTTTTAAGCAGGAGAGCACAGGGATAAACTAATTTTAATTATTTAGTGTTGCGCTCTCTTATGTAAAAACCGGGACAATGGTCGCCCTAGGCATAAAGGAATAGATAAAGTAAAAAGATGCATCTTTGCTGAATGACAAGTAATTAAAATTGCAAAATTATTGTTATAAAGTGATTTATTTATATTTTATGACTAAAATAGCTTTATAAAATTATCATTTTAGGAAATTATAAAAATGTCAATTAATTTTGTGAGAAAGTCAAGTGATGATAATAGAATTGAAAGAAAAAAAAATCTTGAAAGTAAGCTTGAGCAGGTATATGTCTGATTCATTGTTTTAAAGAAAAAGTTTAATAATAAAATTATTTTGCAGTAGTATTGCACAGTGTTATTGCATGTACAATTTATTATATTAGACTTACACATTTTTATAACAATTTATAATAAATTGTTAAATTTTGAGACTTTTGTAATAATAATAATAAAAATATAGAGCTAAAAGACCTAAAAAATAAATGGTAAATTTACAGGCTAAAATTGAATATGAAGCTGTCAACCGTAAAAGGCAACTTGAGGATCAAAGAGGTGATTCAAAATGGATTCTTCCATCTCTTGAAAAACGAATAGATGTAAGCTCTTGTTGTTTTATAAAATATTTTTTGTAATATTTACTAAATTTACTGTATATTTACTGTAGTATGTTGTTTTGAATCATAAAAGGAATGCTAAATGCTTGCTTTAATCTAAAAAATTACAACAAATATTAAAAGTGTTATAATTATAATACTATTATAGTATATATCACTAGAGCATTCACAGTTTGTCCACAAACCCTTAAAGGTGATCCATGTTAATCCATCAACAGGCATTTTCTAATCATAAATAATGTTTATCGTCTTCAAAAGGTGATGCTTGCAATCAAAGAGAGTACAACTGGATGTCCAACTTGTTTTCCATATTTACCTTTCATTCTGTTGTGCAATACCCCATATGGAATTTTAAACGTTTTAGATTAAAGTTGACTCAGTTGTCAGCAGCCTGACAACTGAGTCAACTGGCAAGATTGAAGGGCCGCTGACAACTGAGTTTCTGAATGTGAACAAAAAGCACAACTCCCATCCTTTCTCTTGTAGGTCCACATATTACTGATAGGTAGGCATGTACCTTTAGGTATATATTTATTATTGTTTAGAAAACGTTTTTTACACTTTCATACACTTTTTTAGAAACTTTTTTCATTTTTAACAACTATAATATGCATTTTACCTTTCAAATCAATTTTATGAAATCTTAGTAAACATTTGAGTGTTTATTTATTTTAAACCAAAGACACTGAAAATAGAAAAGATAATAAAATAATATTACAAAGATATTTTAAAGATAATACATTGAAAAAGTAATTCCAAAAAAATTATCAAAGTTATTATGAGTATCAAAGTAATTCCACTCGACTTTATACTTCCAGTTGAGAGGTTAATATTTACTCCGTAAATCTGCATAGTTTTTTTCTGTTGTAAAAATATCTGTTTTGAATAATAAATGTACTTAACACATAATTTTTTTAAACAATTTACACAATTATACAATTAGATTAGGTTTTCCACTTTATGATCATCCATAAATTATGCAATGCTAAATTTATTTTTAAAAAAGCTATAGGAGATCTTAAGTTCTTTTATGCAGTAATTTTCATTAAACTTAATGAGCTATTTTGATCTTTTACTTAACTTAAAACTCGACGAGGGAAAACTTTTGATCTTTTTTGTTTTGTTTACTAGTGAAAATTTAGCATTGCATAATTTATGGGGGATCTCTTTTATAAAAAAAAGGTTTGCGCTTTTAGAAGGTTCCTGTCTAGGATAATAAATGCTGAATCTTCTTGACTCTAGATTTTTGCTTGTGCCTCCTTGATAATGGCTATTTAACTCTTCCTGTTAAATCATAATGAAGGTACAGCTCTAAGACTCAGTTTAATGGTTCTGAGGACGGCTGGTAGTAAACATGAACAGTGTCATGTTGCGCATGGATGGTGTTCTTGTATGTGCTTTCAGTGTGTATTGTCCAGGCCACATAACGAGCCCTATGTTATGACTTAGGGTTAAATAACAGGACTGAGAAGGTTGAATGGCTCATTGGTTAGGAGGTGGTGCTCTATCTTTGAATGAAACAAGTTCTCTTTAAACTTATATCATGCCAAAAGTAACCCAAATGTTAAACATAAAAAACCATCCCCACCACCACAATTATTTTAATATATCTTTTACTAGTATTTGTGGTCTGCGAAGCAACCTGCCATCAGTTGAATCTTACCTCTTGCAAAATTCACCAGACTTGCTTGTTCTTAGTGAGACTGATTTAAGTTCTGCTATTCCTTTTTCTGATCGCAGTGTTGATGGGTATTATTCTTTGATTTGTAAAAACTTCAATAGTCACATGCTTAGCTTGGGGGTATACATAAGCATCAATTCACCTATTTGTTGTAAAATCAGGTTAGAATCCTTTGACTATTTTATGTGTTTTCACTTAGTATCTCTTCACTCTATCGCCTTTCTCCTTGTTCTTTATTGTTCTCTTTCTTCCCAAGACTGTACTCTTTTATATTTAATTTCTGATAAAATTAACCATGCTTTCTCTCTTTACTTCTCTGCAAATATTATTATTGGTGAAATTAATGCTCATCACGCTGAATGGCTTGGCTCTAATGCTACCTCTCAATCTCTTACTCAGATGGTTAACTTTGTGACTCGTTTTCCTGGCAACCCTAATATTTTACTTTCACTAGGATTCTTTTTGTGATTTTCTTTGTTACGGTCCTTGGGCTTATGTCTTTTTCCTCTCAGCTGATAAGTATCCTCCTACGTAACTTCCTGTTACGTAGGAGGTGCATAAAATCTTGTTCACTAAATTTTGTATCTTATCTCAGAAGTTAAGTTCTAGAGACTTTTGGAAAATTTTCAACAGCATCATTAACAAAAGTAGGTCAAACATTCCATCTCTCATTCATATGACTGATCTTATTACCTCTCCCAAGAATAATCTAGAACTATTTGCAAAAAACTTTTCTAATTTGATTCATTTTCTTTTTTCCTTCCATTTCAATTATACAGGTTAAACCATTGTTAGACATTCATATCAATCCAGCTTCTGTTGCTAAAGTCATATACCAGTTAAACTCTTCTACGACTTGTGGTCCAGATAACATTCCTGTCATAGACTTACAAAAGTGCTCTCCAGAACACTCTTCATTTCTCCCTTTATTAAACTATTTAATAAATGCTTGACTGGGACTTGTTTTCCTGCCTGTTAAAAAATCGCATCTGTTGTTCCAATTTTCAAAAACTCTGGTGAACATTCTGGCTCCTCTAATTATCGTCGTATCAGTCTTTTTTCTGTTATTAACAAAGTCTTTGAGTCTTTGATAAATAAATTTTCTCACATCTCATCTTGAGTTAAATAACTGTTAGACAATCAATAGGCTTTTCGATCCTATCGCTCTGTGGCTGACTTGCTAGTTGATGTGGCCGAAAGATTTTATAGTGTGTTAGATGAAGGTGGAGAGGCTAGGGCTATTGCTCTTGATGTATCTAAGAGCAATAGCTTGTTTTGTAGGGTGTATTTGGGAAAGATTTTGAGATTATCAAATCATTTCTTTCTAGCCGCTTCATTAAAGTCATCCTTGAAGGCCAACACTCTCCTTTATTTCCAGTAACTCTGGGGTACCTTAAGGCTCTATCCTTGGTCCTGTTTTGCTTCTTATCTACATTAATGATCTTCCTGACAACCTTACATCTAAAGTAGCTCTTTTAGCTGATGACTCAACTTTATATTCTTTTATTAATGAATGGCAACCCTCTCACTAAGTCCTTTTCTTTGCATTTTCTTGGATTATCGTTTACTACTGAACTTTTATGGAAACCATATATACAATCAATTGATAAAGTAGCATCTGCTAAGGTTGCTTCTCTTTATTGTACTCACTATTTTCTTACTCCTAATTCCGTTTTCTACCTCTACAAATCTCGTATTCGCCCCATGTATGGAATACTATTGTCATACTTGGGCTGATTCTTCTGATGATACTCTTTCTTTATTAGACAAGGTCAAATATTGTATTGTAAATGTAGCTGGACCCGCTCTATCTGCTTAGATTGAACAAATAGAGCAGCTCTTTCCCATTGTCATAAAGTTTTCTTTCTCTTTTCTACAAATACTATCATGGATGCTGCTCAAAGTAGCTATTAACTCTAGTTCCATCAACTAAAACTTCTTGCTTGAATCGTCATTCAGCAAAGTCTCATTTGTTTACTGTATCTGTCCCTGCATGCTCTAAAAACTTTTATTTTATCTAGTTTTTTCCCTCACACTTCAACCCTTTGGAACTCTCATACAACTTACAACTTTTCAAGTCTTCTGTCAACTGTCTCTTTGCTTTAAAAACTCTATTCTTTTTTTCTTCTAATAACTCCTAACTCAATAATGGTTGTTTGCAGCTTTGTTGGGAGTGAATCAGAATTAAAAAAAAAACGGTATGTAGCCAACAGGTTCAAAACTGCTGTAAACATGAAATTTTGATTCCAAATTTGCAAAAAAAACTTTCGATTATTTTTTTTTTTTTCAAATTTAGAAAATATAACATAAAGTTCATGTGCTCCAGTAATTCTTTAATAACTTTTATGTTACTGGTTGACTTGTTCTGTTTATTATTACAATATTTGACTGGTTGACTTGTTCTGTTTATTATTACAATATTTGACTAGTTGACTTGTTCTGTTTATTATTACAATATTTACCTAGGAAAACATTCACTTGAAAAAGAAACACAAAAAGAAACATAAGAAGCATAAAAAGGTAGTTTTTTTAGTAATGCTTTTTTAAGTCATGTTATATGAGCATTAATACTCATCATTAAACTACTGGTGTTGTAAAATGAAAAAGTTTTTCTTAAATTTTATTGTTAACTAAGCTACCATTTCTTTAGTTCTTTATTAAACTATTAATGTTTTACTTATAATTCTATAAGTAATATAATTAAATTAAATTATATACTTCTGTTTGCTTTCTTTTATTAGGAGGAAGAAGTTGAGGAGTGGGAGGAGGCTGATCCTAAAGGTGTAACTGTTGACCAAACATGTGAAACTGGTGATCAAGCAAGTAAAACTGTTGATCATGCAAGTAAAACTTCTGATGACAAATATCCTTGTACTGAGTCAAAATTGGGTAATACTGCCTCTCCTCAAATGCAAACTTTTCCAAAGGTTTGTTTTTATAATTACATTTCAAATTTACTCACTTAATTCTAATTTACCTTCAAGATTGAAAACGAAAGTCTGCACCTCAACATCTTTGTTTTCTATTTTTCCATTTAGGTTAAAATTAAAATATTTACTGTATTAGGCTTCTTATACTTTTTAACTATTTAAAATTTAAGTAACATTTAAAATGATTCTCAGAGGCAGGTAACTTTTTAATGAAAAAAGAACTAGTTAGAGACAATTAACACAATCTTTAAAAAAAACTTGTTTTAGTTATTGTTTAGGTTTTTGCTGCAGTTTGCAGGCTTGGTCAAGAAGCGGGAGCGATCGCTCTCGATTGCTGATCAAGCCTGAGTTTGGTTCAAATAAAAAAAAATCTTCCAAACTCCTCCCACTATATTTTTAAACCATTGCAAAAATAATGTCAACAAGATACAAATTTTTAGCTTTCAAACTGACATAAATAAAAAGAGCTGAAGTTTTTAAAGTTAACTAAAAAATTTCTTTTTTTTATAAACACATTATATGTGAAAATTAGCTTAAAGTTAATTAAGAAAGTTTATATTTACAGAGTAAGAAGTTTAGAAAATAAATTTAAAGAAAGTTTTGAAAATTAATTTTAATGGTAATAACTTGTTTGAGCTAATTGATCTCAGTTTTGCAAAACTACAAAGCCAACTGCAACATTAATTTTTTTAATTGAAAAAATCCTACATAAGACAATAACATTAAACCCAAATTTACTGATTTTCTATCTCACTCCCAGAGCAAGCCTTCTCAGGCTGAGCAACCATTCTTATTTGACCATGCATATAGTATTTTATTTTGACAACTCTTTGCTTTTGAAAATTAGCGTGTTTAAAAAATGCACTAAATAAACAAATTTAAACTTAAACTACAATTTAAAACTTTACCTAGCTTTAGATATCTATTTAAATCATTTTAAAAATTAATTTGCATCTATAAACTAAAATTTTTTTTGGGTAATATGGAAAATATTATATATATATATATATATATATATATATATATATATATATATATATATATATATATATATATATATATATATATATATATATATATATATATATATATGTATATATATATATACTTATTTTGATGATTAAAAATAATAATTTAGGAGTTAGTCAACTATATTTAATTATTTTCCAAACGCAGTGTGTATTTAAAATGCGTGACTAAAAATATAGATTTTTCTTTCACTACAACTCTTATTTTTTTCTTAAGGCGAAACAATATCTTTGCTTTTTACTATATTATGTAAAGCTTATGTCTTATCAACTTAAAATCATTCATTTCGCTAACATCTATTAAGGCTTTCCTTCATAGTTGCTGACTTTCCACAGTGATGCAACTGAGTAAAATCAACAAAAGAAAAAACCTTAAGGTAACACTTTTTTTTGTATATCACTGTGGGGAAGTGGGATAATTTTAATTTCAATAAAATATGATCAAAGGAACAATTTTAAGATGAGTGAAGTTGTTATAGTGCATAAAAAATTTTTGTGAAAAAATCTGCAATTTTGCCTTATAGTAGAATTTTCACGCACGTCACCGTAAAGTAGGTCTAGGAGTATATATATATATATATATATATATATATATATATATATATATATATATATATATATATATATATATATATATATATATATATATATATATATATATATATAAACACAACAAAAATAAAACAAAAAAAATACAAATATAATTTTTTATTTACTCAAATCAGAAAATGCTTTTCTGTTTTAAGTCTGGTATATGACTTGTCAACCATGTGTTATAAGTGCTGATATATGTATGTTAATGAATCTTTTTTATTAATGAAAATAATGTAGAGAGAAGAATGGATGCTGACATCATCTCTTCTAGAAAAAGCCATGTTATCATCTAGTCATCGTGAGAATAAAACCAAAACATCAAAAATTGAAAAAAAGAAGAAAGAAGAAGAAGAAAGGAAGGTACACTTTAATTTTCTGCTAACAATCTAATTAACATTTATTAATATTTTTTACATGTGCAAATTGTAAAATCATGTCTAACATTTTAATTTTATATTTAAACAGTTATTATTATTTTAATAATATCATAATCATAATATTGTTGTAAAAATATTTATTTTTTTATTAATATTATTGCAATTATTATCAATAAAACAATTTTATTTTTAGTGCATAAGTTGTTTTTCTTACAAAAAAATTTTTTTTTTTTGTAAGAAAAACATTTTTAAATTAGTGTTATTTTGTTATGTAGAATACATAGAGCACCACCCTATAGAAATAAAAAATTTACTATAAATTTAGAGTAATAATTTTTTTTGCTGCTATTTAAATTAATATTCTTTTTCTCAAATTTGTAGATTTTATATTTTTTTAGGTGTCATTTTATTGACATATTTATGATTATATGAATTACACCCTAATTATGTAAATTTATAATGTATTTTTGTAAATTTTATACTTATATTTAAATAAAAGATTAAAAAATTTGTTATAAAATTTTTATTAATCTGTTATTATATGTTTTTATCATAGTCTGCCTATTCTTCAAGAGAACTAAACCCATATTGGAAAGATGGCGGCGTTGGTTTGCCTTTAGAAGCTAATAAAAACCAAGAAACTAAAAGTAAACAAATAAATGAATCTAAAAATAACTTTTTTAATTATATTCATAAATAATATTTTAAAAATATATCTAAAAAGTTTTTTTATTATATTCATCTTACATTTAATATCATGTGAATTTAATTGCTTTAAAACTTGAAAGAAATATATTTCATAATAAATTACATTAAGTTTTTTTAAGAATTTAGTTTTTTTTATTATATTTTAAAAACATTAGATATTACTTTGTTATTTTAGGGTGGCAATATGTCAATTTTTCAACATAAATATAATAAATTATAAATGTATATAATGAATGATTTACAAATAAAACTTTATAATGATTCTATTAAAAATTTATATAATTATAAAGTTATAAAATATTTGTAATCTTTAATCATTCAGAAAAAAAATTCCTTCTCAGATGTTGGTGTAGGAGATGGTGGAAAAAGCTGGATACAAAAAGCGTATGAGCGTTCAAAATTACAAGCTGAAGAAGAAGGAATTCCTCTTGAAGATGTTGTTGCTCAAAGATGGGGTGTAATAGTTTATGTTTTTTCTTGTATTAATATATGCACTATTATCTTATGTATTTATATTTATATTCATTAGTTTTTGCATGTTATTTTTTTTTGTATGTTGAGTTGGTGAAACTTTAGTAATAAATTTTTAGTCTATGGCCAAGTTGAACGCTCTTTTAAAAGCCTCTGAAAATAGTTCCCGGTAAATCTATCAAGCTATTACTAAATTTTTTTTTGTGAATTAAATTTCAAATTTTTTTTTCTAATAAAAATGTTATTTATCTGCTTTTTACTTTTTATGAAATTTTTTAGTGAGTCGATTTTATATATAAACTGTTGTTTAAAATTGAAATGTATTTTTCATCAAGAAATAAGCAAGAATCAAAACATACATCATCGTCAGGTTGGAGAAAATCAAGAGATCAATCTTGGTATTATTTTTATTTTATAACTTTTTTGGTGTAATACATTTTTTTCACAATTTATTGTTTTTTTTTTTTTTTTTTAAATAATATGCACAAATAAGTTTGTAATACAATTTGACATAAGTTTAACATTTTGACTTCTCGTATGAACTTTGATTGTTTTTATTTTATTTTAGTTCGTTATTAGTATCAAATAATGTGTCAACATCAACAAAAACATGTAAAGACGATAAAAGCTGTGAACAGAAAACATCCTTTGATAATAATGCACCTGTAAAAAAGGACCATAAGGATATTATAATAACAAAAGATAGTGATAATGTACCTGTAAAAAAGGACCATAAGGATAATATAACAACAAAAGATAGTGATAAATTTTCTAATACAAGTGAATCTATTTTGTCCACCAGGATTCCTTTAACAGATAAAGAAAAAAATGAAATTAGTGCAAAGATATTACGCGCAGAACTAATGGGTAATACTGTAAGTAGCCTAATATATTTCTTAAGAAGTTTGCTGATGAAAAAACTTTTTTTTATAAATATTAAATCTATATATATATATTTGTATATATATATATATAGTTATATATATATATATAGTTATATATATATATATATATATATATATATATATATATATATATATATATATATATATATATATATATATATATAGCATTGACACGCATGGATGATGTCATACAAAAACAAGGAGTTACGGGAACTTCAGTACATACATTGGCTATCTTATAGCCTGCTGCCGCAAAAGAGTGCTGCTACATCGACTGAGGGTTTGGCATGGGGCAGCAATCTTCTATTTCATTATTCTTCATTTTTCATTATTTTTTTGAAAAGTTAAAACACACATTTTTACATTAAAAGCGCAAAAATGATATTATAAAATTAGTCCTTAGATATAGAGTATAGCATATACTATACTCTATATCTATATCTAAGGATTCAATTTTCAGATATCATTTTTGCACTCTTAATGTAAAAATGTGCATTTTAATTTTTCAAAAAAAGAAGAAAAAAAAACAAAGAATAATTATAGAAAAGATTGCTTCCCCATACCAAAATTAATGCGGTAGTGGTATAGTGCTTGCCTCAAAAGCAAGAAGTTACAAATTCGATTCCCACCGTGTTCCTGGTTTCTCTGCGCAGTGGTCAAGTTTTTTGTTTCAGAGTTTATAGAGTTAAGAGAGGGTTGTAACCACAACTAAAGTAGCTTCCTCGACTGTAGTGGCAGTCATGGCCTCAGGGAGGTGGATTGAAATTAAAAAAAAAACCTCAGTCAATGTAACAGCACATTGATATATGCAGGCCCAGCTCTAGACAATACGAAGGTGGGTAAAAAAAATATTTTGGCGCCTTAATAAAAATAAAAATAAATCTTAAATTTTTTTTCTATTTTAATACAATTTTTTTGAAAGTAGGTTGCGAATATTTTATCTTGAAAACAGTACCTATAAGAATACATATTTTTCAAATTAAAGCTTTTAAAATTATACAAGTTAATAACTGTCTTTTTATTTCAATTACTTACATCACCATCACCAAGTTCGCTAAACCTATCATTCACCAATATTCGTGGTCTTCGAAGTAACTTTTCTTCTGTTGAGTCTTATCTCTTGCAAAGTTCACCAAACCTGCTTGCTCTTTGTGAGACTAATTTGAGTTCAGCTGTCTCATCTTGTGATCTTAGTGTTGATGGTTATCTTCCTTTAATTCGTAAAGACTCCAATAGTCACATGCTTGGCCTGGGCATTTACATTCGTAAGAATTCACCCATTTGTCGGGAAACTAGGTTTGAATCCACAGACTACTCTTTTATGTGCTTTCATTTAGCACCACTTCACTCTATCACCTTTCTCTTTGTTCTATATCGCTCTCCCTCATCCCAAGACTGCACTCTTCTTGATGTTATTTCTGATTATATTGACCAAGCCCTCATTCTTTATCCATCAGCCAATATTGTTGTTGTCGGTGACTTTAATGTTCATCACACTGAATGGCTTGGCTCTAGTGTCAGTGGCTCTGCAGGCATTAAGGCCTACAACTTTTGTCTTTCTCAATCCCTAACTCAAATAGTCAACTTTCCAACTCGCTTTCCAGACAACCCGAATCATTTACCTTCTCTACTCGACTTATGTCTTGTTTCTGATCCTAGTCAGTGTTCAGTTTCTTCACACTCACCCTTCGGTGCGTCTGATCATGGTTTGGTCTCACTAAAACTATTATCTCATTCTTCTTTACCATTAGAATCCCCCTATCATCGTACATCTTACAACTACCTTAAAGCTGACTGGGACTCTTTTCGTGACTTTCTTCGTGATGGCCCCTGGGTAGAAATCTTTCGTCTTCCTGTTGACAAATGTGCTTATTACATAACTTCGTGGATTCAGGCTGGCATGGAATCTTTTATTCCCTCTCAACGATTCCAGGTCAAGCCTCACTCTTCTCCATGGTTTTCCTCACATTGTGCTGCTGCAATTGCTAATCGAAACCATTACTTCCATATCTATCAGCAAAACAATTCTCCAGAAAACAGACGTCTCTTTATTACTGCTAGGAACCATTGTAAAAAGGTTTTGTCTAACGTCAAAACCCACTATTCTCAGATCATGAAGTCTTGTATTTCATCACAAAAATTAGGCTCTCATGACTTCTCGAGAATCTTTAATAGTATCAATAATAAGGGCAAGTCTGTAATTCCACCTCTTTTGTACGGTTTAGACTTTGTCACCTCACCTAAAGACAAAGCTGAATTGTTTGCCAAGAACTTTTCATCAATATCATCTCTTGATGCCACTAGTTGCGTTTTACCTGATATACCCGTCAAACAGGTTGATCCATTGCTCAACATTTGTATCACTCCAGCTTCTGTATCTAAAGTGATTTCCCGCTTAGACTCTTCTACAGCTTGCGGCCCGGACAACATACCTGTTATAGTCTTGCAGAAGTGTTCTCCTGAGCTGTCGTCTATCTTTTCAAAACTATTTAACAAGTGCTTATCAGAGTCTTGTTTTCCAGCCTGCTGGAAAGCAGCATCTGTTATCCCTATTTTTAAAAATTCTGGAGAGCGATCTGACTCATCTAACTACCGTCCCATTAGTCTTCTTCCTATCATAAGCAAGGTTTTTGAATCTTTAATTAACAAACACTTAATCTCTCATCTCGAATCTCATAACCTACTTTCTGATCATCAGTATGGATTTCGATCTTCTCGTTCTACGGCTGATTTGCTATCAGTAATAAATGATAGGTTTTATTGCGCATTAGATAAAGGTAGAGAGGTTAAGGCCATTGCTCTTGATATTTCTAAAGCGTTTGATAAAGTTTGACATGCTGGTCTCCTCCATAAGCTTTCTTCTTATGGTGTATCTGGAAACATCTTTAAGATTATTGAATCCTTCCTTTCCAATCGTAGTATAAAAGTTGTCCTTGATGGACAGCACTCCTCTTCTTATTCTGTAACCTCAGGGGTTCCCCAAGGTTCAATCCTTGGCCCTATATTTTTTTTAATTTACATTAACGATCTTCCAGATATTCTCACATCTAAGGTGGCATTGTTCGCTGATGATACTACCATTTATTCTTGTCATGATAAGAAGCCAACTCCCTCTGATTCCTTGCAGGGGGCATCTGAGCTCGAAAAGGATCTCACTTCTGCTACAGCATGGGGCTCGCAGTGGCTGGTGAACTTTAATTCAGATAAAACTCAATTTTTATCGCAATAATTTAGACCTTCCTATATTTATGAACGGTAATGTACTCGATGAGTCTCCTACCCTTCATCTTCTAGGATTAACTCTTACTTCTGATCTTTCTTGGAAACCTTATATCAAATCCATTGCAAAATTAGCATCTGCTAAAGTTGCTTCTCTTTATCGAGCTCGTCACTTTCTTACTCTTTCTATTCTCTATCTCTATAAATCTCAAATCCGGCCTTGTATGGAATACTGTTGCCATATCTGGGGCGGATCTTCTAATGATGCCCTTTCTCTTTTAGACAAGGTGCAAAAACGCATTGTAAACATAGTTGGACCTGCTCTTGCAGCCAACCTTCAACCTCTGTCACATCGTTGTAATGTTGCTTCTCTTTCTCTTTTCTACAAATACTATAATGGGCACTGCTCTAAAGAGCTAGCGTTCTCGTGTTACTCGTCATTCAATTAAGTCTCATCCTTTTTCTGTTACTGTTCCTAAGTGCTCCAAAAACTCTTATTCGTCTAGTTTTTTCCCTCGAACATCAGTTCTTTGGAATTCGCTTCCTTCATCTTGCTTTCCTGATTCATATAATTTGCAATATTTTAAGTCGTCTGTCAATTGTTATCTTGCTCTAGAATTTTCATCTTTTCTCTTCCAGTAACTTCCAACACTAATTAGTGGTTGCTTGCAACCTTGTTGGAAGCGAAGATAATTAAAAAAAAAAAAAAAACATCTGTATTTTTAGAAAAATCTGGACCAATCTGGATTAAATCTGTATTTAATCTGGATTAAATCTGGATCTAACATGAACTAAATCCGGATCTAATCTGGATTAAATAAGAAGAAATTGCGGAGATCTGATCCAAATGTTTAAGCTAGAAAATCATTTAGAAATAGTAGAGTGGAACTCACTCTTAGCAGGAAATATTAGAGGAAATTTTGTGCAAGTGATTTTCAAAAACTCACTCATTCAACATAATTTTTTAAAAACAGAACTGTTAGAGTGAAAGAATCTTCCAAATGACATTAAAACATCAAAATCAGTCTGTGAAATAAAGGTTTTACTTGACAGGCTAAGCATGGGTTGTTATAGTGCACCATCTACTGTTGGTGGGCTGCACAGTTAGTTTCTACAAATTTATATTTACAAATACTCTGTGAAATATTATTTATGCAGAAATATATATTAATATTACTAAATAACAGAGAATCTTTGAAATTAATATTGGAAACTCTTTTTATTGCTTTTTTTTTAGCAAAAATTGTTATTATTGTTATTATCATGTCATCTTATGAAAGAGTGGTATTCAATTTCAAAATAGTTCGTTTTATAGTAGCCCTACTATCATTTTTTAAATCAATTTTAGTTTGCATTAAAAAATTCGAATCAGAATGCGTTTAGATTTGAAAATAGGCAATAGACACCTTGGGTATATTTGGTTGAGAAAGTCTAAAGTATTTTTCCAAGTGAAAATAAGGAGTACTTTAAACTTCTAAGATGCAAAATAACTTCTATAAAGTTGTCTTCTAATTCAAGCTTTAATTTTTACCGGTTCTTGATGATTTAACCAGATGAATAAGAAACAGTTTTTACAACCCCAATTTTAAGTTGAATTTGTAGCATGGAATAATAAAACTCAAAGTTAAAGATATTCACTTTAAGCTTATGTTTGGAGAACTCAAGGAAAAAAACTGCATGTCCAGGTTAACTGCTTTTTTGCCATCATCATTCACTTTGCAAAAAATTATGTTTATCGCCATGACAAGTCATCTGCTCATTATGGGTCAATGTTTTGTTTGAAAGTAGAGCAACAGCTTTAGAGCAGCATTAGTTTTCTGTGGTTGTTTTACAATTAGTTTTATAGATGAACATTTAATTTCCGAAAGCTTGAAAATATTGATCTTCCATCTAATACGACCGCAACAGAAAATTTAAAAATCTTAAATTTATATCTATTTATTTATTACAATAACCAATGAAACTTATACATAAAAAGTTCAATATTGATGAAGGAAAGCAACAACAAGCTATCATATGCTGACGGTTGACATAGCTACAGCCGAAATAGCATCATAAAAATACTTTTAAAAGAGCTTACTGTATGTACATCAAAAAATGTACATCAGTTACATCATGCGCTAATTTATTACAACAGTGTGCAATATGATTTTTAAAAAAGTGCCAACGTTCTGGATAATATTTGGTTAGTTGGGGTTTTAGACTGATCATTTTTTATTATTTATATGCTGAGTTTAATGAGAAAGCGTAAACGCAAAAACGTTTTTTAACTTGATTTTAAACAACCTTTTAATTCCTTTAACAGCGGTTTTTTATGACCTGATAGTTATATTATAGTTTTAAATAATTTATTTCTTAAATAATTTATCAAAGAAATATTTTGTTTAAACTATAATTTTTTGATAATATAAACAAAGCAAGTTAGTTACCATGCACATCACCTTGTAAATTTATTTTATACCTCATCAATAAAAACTAATTTTTAATTTTTTTGTAATTAAAATGTCATTATGATTTTTTTTCTTTCCTCTTCTGGCGCCCCTAATACTTAGACGACCGTGGTACGTATGCCCTTAATGCTTCTCCCTCTCGACAGCCCTATATATGATTTGTTTTTAATCAACTAAATTATTTTTAAAGTTGGACTCTACTGCACACTAAATAACTTTGAGAAAAATTAAAAAAGTTTTTCGAGTTATTGTAGTTTTTATTATAAATTATTATATGCTTATTATTACATAATATAAGTACATAAGTTTTTATAGTTATTCTTATATATTTATATATTTACATATATTCTCAGGCAGGGCTGCTATGAGCTGTCACGCCACCTGGGACAGCAATCCTTATTGGTGCCCTTATTTATTTAATTTTCCCTATATTATATATGAAGGAGTTTTTTTTTTTTTTAGGTACCTATATTTCATTTGGCACCCCTTGAATATCTGCTGTCCAGGACAACCTATCCTGGTCCCCCTTTCTCTCGGCGGCCCTGTTCTCAGAAAAAAAAAAAAGTGTTTAATGAAAATTTGGTGCCTTCATAGCATTGGCGCCAGGGTGAAAATCACCCATTGTACCTTCCGCTGGGCCTGTATATATGTGTATATATGTATATATATATATATATGTATATATATGTATATATATATATATATGTATATATGTATATATATATATATGTATATATATATATATGCCTGTATATATGGGCCTGTATGTATGTGTGTATATATATATATATTTAATACACACATATACATATATATATATAAAGATTTTGTATTTATAATATTGCTAATAAGTAACATGCATGTTCCTGTTATTATTTTTCACTGTTCAAGTTGTTTATTTTGCTTTTACATAATCCATAAGTTGTTTTCAATTTTGAAGAATTTTTTTGTTTGCATTTTATTAGATGCAAAATTCAAAATTGTATTAACAGTTAATATTAGAATTTTTTTTGAGTGTTGCAAACTTTCTCTTGCTGTTGTTCCTTTTACTGCAATACCTATTTCATCACAAAAAGTTTTGTCATGACTGTTTACAAAATATTTACAAAAAAATTGTCTGAATTTAATAAAAAACTTGTTTATTAAAAAGTGGAGTGAGCAGTTTCTCAATCCACTTCAGCACTAGCTCTATAAAAGTTTTGACAGTTTCAGTTTGTGCGTCATTTATTATTTTATGTACAAATTATGAATTAGCATCATGTTAATTTTTACTATTTATTTTGGCTAGATATAACATTTCATTTCATTCACAAGTATCATTTATACTTTTACTATTTATTTTTAGTTTTTTTACTCTAAAAGTAAAAAATCTAAATTCTAATTAATCTAAAAAAAGGATCTCAGGAAATGTCAGGGTTCATAAGTTTGAACTGCACAGTTCTAGAAAGTTACACAAAAGTAATCATTTTTTGAACGTGTATTTTGTTATTCTGTTATTTACATGTATTCTGTTATTTCTTCCTTTGCCAACACTCATGCAGGCCTTGACACCAATGATGAGGGATCAATCTCTCTGCCTGACCATGCTTGTAATACTTCATCTATAAAATGTAAATTACTTATTTTATAATGGTTTGTTAAATTTTTGCCAATCTTTTTTATTGATTTTTCTTGGCAGAGGCAACATGTTGAAGCAAAACAACACTATAAAAGTTAATTAAAGAATATTCTAAATTTTCCCGAGATAGAGATAAACTTTCCCGAGATAAACTAATGTGAGTAAATGCCTTATCTTCTTTTGTTGATAATTCATTTGCTTCATTTTTACTGGAGTATGCTACTGGTACATCTGCTTTTGACATACATCAACTTTATAACTTCCACACAAGTAAAATTCTTACATCAAGTGACTTTATGTGTCTTGCAAACATTAATGTTATGATAAATCTATCTAAAAAAAAAAATGTTTAAAATATTACATATTTTTACATATAGTAATTATATATGTGTACATATGCACATAAACATCACAACAATTTTCTACTCAAATCTTTTTTTAAAGCAATGAAAATGGTGATTGCAAATGCTGAATACTTTTTCACAAGCACTCAAGTAGACATAATTAGCTAAGAATAATTCTTCACTAGAACACAAATTATTACAAATGTCTAGATCATTTATAAAACAATCTCTTCATTTCTAGTATTTTAAGTTTTATGGCACTCTGACTTCAAAACTTGACCAACATCGCACTCAACATCGCATTCAACATCGCATTCAACATCGCATTCAACATCGCATTCAACATCGCATGAATATATTTTCATACAGAATAAAAGATACATAAAAATTACAACTTTTAGTTTAAAATATTAATTACATAATTTATGTAGTATATACTTGCAATATTAATTATTTATTATAGACAAATTATTTAGTCTGATTTCAGTAATTAAACTTTAGAACCAGAAAAGACAAACAAATAAATAAGACAAAATAAAATAAGACAAACAAATAAAACATAAAAAAATACATACCTTTATGGATTGGTTACATAAATGTTTATGGATTGGTTTCTTGTCTATAATTTTAAATTTCTCAAAACTCTATTGTTATAATCAGACTGTATTTGGTTCAAACAGTTATACAAGGCTATTTGTTTAAATAAAATAGCGTAATTTACATATAAAATGAATGGATAGTATATAAAGATACATATTTAAAGTATTGCTCATCTGATGCTATAGTATTTTATCATTTTTCTGATAATTTATAGATTTTCTGCCAGAGGCACGAGTTGTCTTTTGAAGCCAAAAAAGAATCAAGCCAAATTTGGATTGAATTTTGAACATTTACTTTCCACAGCACTTTTCTTCATAAAATAGTAATGTAGCAAAAATTTTGGATTCAAAGTTTTCCATTTCTAATTAAATTAAAAAACATGTTGGCGTGAAAAAACAAATACACTGTATGCTGAATATATGTTGACAGATGTCTAAGCTTTATGATGAAAACAAATATGTCATTGTTAACAATATAACACATATAGAGCTATCTCTTGAAAAAACCAGAAACTTATTTCTAGTCATGTTTAAGTTTGTTTTTTTTGAAAAATTTTCATTAATTTGATCTTTTTATTCCTAAATTACTTTATGTCATTTTCTTTTAAATGCTATTATGGATGCTGTTTGATTTTACATATAAAATCTTGTTTTGTGTTGTGGTATAACCAGAAATATTTTGATTTTCAAGGTGCTTTGTGCTAAGCTTAAGTTGGAGTTACAACAAGGAAGAATAATATCAACAGTGAATAAATCTGAAAAAATCTCAACAAGTACTGAGGATGTTCTTCTTACACGAGAAGATAAGCATGGAAATCTTTATCCCCTGAAGCTTCAGCATGGTGCAGAAGAGCTAAACAGAAAAAGAACTAAAAAAAAACTGGTTTGTTGTTATTTGTTGTTTTATCATAATTTATTTTAAATTATATTGAAAAATTTAGGTCAAGGTTTTTTTTAATTGTATAAAATTGATTAAATAAAAATAGTGAATTGTATTTATCAAACTTTAGAGGTATTAATATTAAATGATAAATGACAAAATAAACAACTAGAAAATCAAACAAGTGGAATATGAGTTTTTTTTCCTTTTTAAAGGTTTCTATGCATGATTCTGAAGGAAATCGTGTAAAATATTTCGAAGATGACGACTGTACATCTCTTAAAACAATGGTAGGTTGCTCTTTTTTTTCAAATGCTTTCAAAACATTTTGAAGATTCTTTACATTTCACTTCTTTTTTTTTTTAACAATGCAGTCAACATTGTTATTAATTTTTTAACAATGCAGTCAACATTGTTATTAATTTTTGCTAATTGATCATTTTAAATAAGAAAGTATTTTTAATTTTTTGATTTTATTATTTTTAATAATTTAGGTTGAAAATGAACGGCTAACCACAGCAGATGAACAACATGCTATGATGCACAGAATGGCATCAAAGGTCAGATTTTCAAATTACAGCTCCTGGTTATTTGCTTTTATATCAAAGTTATTTCTGTAAATATTTTTCCAAATAAACATATTTTTCATACATTACATATCATAGTTTACATAACATTTTTTACCAAAATATGCATGTTTGTTTTTAACTTATGAAATGTACTTTTGAAATTAAGTATAAAATAATAAATCTTATAAGTAAAATGATTGTTAAAATTCATATAAACCTGACATATTAGGTCAGGTTTATATGAATATTACCAATTCTAAAAAATATATTAATATAGGTATAAAAATATAGATATTTTATCTGAATCTAGGTTGGGTATTTTTCATGAAATTTTTGACAACTTACAAAAAGTTTTAAAGGTTTTTTTTAAATTTACATTATTTAATTATTAGTAATTGAAAATTTTATTTGAATTTTGCTATGATGTTATATAGTTGAATAACTAAAACATATTCTAAAAAGCTTTTGGAAATTTATGATTAGTAACATCTAACTATTTTCAAGAAGTGTTGGGTTCAACATAAATTTAATGCAGAGTTGCAAGAAAATTGTTTGCAATAAAACAGTATTAGTTTACCATCTCCCTTTTAAATTTTACTACAACATTTTATTGTAAAATCAGAAATAGTGATTATGTGAAAAAACCATATTTTTAAAAAGTTAGTATATTTATCATGTTTATACAATAATTTTATACAGATTTATAGTTTTTATTTTCAGGGTGTACTTTACATACTTTACATTCAGAATGTATACAATAACTTCACAATGAGTAGAACATAAATATGTTTTCAATAACTAACTTACCAATCCTTTTTTAATAACACCTTTCATATATCCAAGTTACCCTTTGGGGTAATGCGATACTCATTATATTTGATACATATATCACACTTATTGCTTTTCATGTATTTAAAAAGTCAAACTGTATTGGTTATGTCTAGCAGTTTTTTTTTTTACTGATACAGTCTTCTTTTCAGCTTTATTCTTCTCTTCTTGCAACTTTGCGACAACATCTCGCGCTGTTAAAATTTCCCCCTTTTTGACCTGGACATGTGCTCTGTGATTTTGCAAGTACTATCAGTGTAGGTTGGCTTGGGCAAGGTGTAAATACAGAATCAATTGCTCTCTTCAGGTTTTTTACAACATTTTTTTGTTAGACACATCTACTTCCTCACGCTTTGGTTGCATATTCACAGTCTTCATAGGTTTCGAAGACACCAATTTTTGAGGATTTTCTTCTAGTGGGATTTTAATGGAGCAAAAAAACCAATATCAAGAGGTTGTAATGCATGACTTGTGTTCAAAGGTAAGTAAAGTAAAATTATATGATTGTATAGAGCCTTTTTAACAGTAGAATATGTTATATGGAGATTGTGTCCATCACACAGCAGAAACACAGGCTTTTCATAATCCTTTACATGTATAATAAACCTGCCAATCTAACTTTCAAAAATATAGTTTTCCATCCAACCTTATTTTTTTACACCATACAATGCATTTTCTGGTCCAGAAAATTTGACACATGCATAAAGGCGGATAGCTTTGTTGACAACAAATAGAGATAGACACTGGCCATTTGCTGACCCAGAAAACAGTACAGTATACATTGATTTACTGCATGATGGGGCAATGTAATAGGCTGTTTTTGTTGTTTTCTGAACAAAGAGTTTTCCAGCTGTAAGATCTGTATGTAAACCTGTTTCATCTAAATTAAATATGCAATGTGGTCTATTAAATAAATTATTATTATTTAATAACTTCTCATATAACTCAAAAAAAATCTGTCAATGTTTTAGAGAAAGATTATTAGCTCTTGTTTTTGTTAAAAGTTCAGGTTTTTTTTTCCCAATGACTACATTCCATCTTTTTTCAAAAGACATGCACCAGTCTTTCCCTGACTTGTCATCTTTGAATGGAGTTTTTTTTTCCAGTAAATGTTATATAGGATTTAATCATCAGTTTGATATCTTCTCTATTTTGTGGAAACTCTTACAAGCTAAGTACATCAAGGCTTCTACTAGAAGTTTTAGCATTATTTAAAACGAACCTACAACCGCTTCCAATCATTTTATCATTCTTTTGGATTTGTTTATCGTCATCATTATGTATAATGTCCCATAAGGAATTCCAGAAGACTTTGATACATTGTATACTGACTCCCCTTCCTAAACAAGGTCTATGACAGTCATTAAATTTCTGTGATTGTATGTACCAATAGTCTTTATTAATTCTGGTTTTAATAAACTTTAATTATATAAAATATAAAATTTAATTTTAAAGTAAAGAGGAATAAAAAAATAAATTAAAAAACATTAAATGGTAGTTAAAGTTTTACTCTAGCTATTCAGGGAAAAGTTTGAACTATGATCTTAATCTAAATAGTTCAGAAGAATAATATAATGATATAGCATTATAATATAATGATATAAAATGGATATATATATATAATATATAAAATCCTATAAATCTTGTAATATAAAACTATTATATTACATATATAGTTTTGTATTATAAAACTATTATATGTAAGTGAAAAATGTAAAATATTAAAAATCAATAGTGAGCAAAAGTAAATAAATGTCATGTAGCTTTTAATTTTGTAAAATTCTAAAATGTTAGTAGGATTTTATATATTTTATTTATATTTATTTTACCCCACTATATTTTTTACCTGTATATCCATTTTACCCCATTTTAATTTTTTGTTTATTTATCAATATGGGTTAGAGAACTTATAAATTAAATTTTACATGTTGTTACATCATGGTCCGGCTGATAAATTTACGTCATTAAACTTGCACAAAAAATATTACTAAAGCCTGCAGACAAAAGTTCTAAAACATATTTTTTATATATTTTTAAAATAGCATGTTTTACATTTTAACTATTCATGTAAATCAAATATTTGTAACATTGTTAATACGAAAAAAAAGAAGCTAATTATGTATGTTGGTAATTTTTAGGTTTTAGCATTACGTATAAATAACTTACTTTCTGCATACTTATTGAATATATCCATATTACCCCAACTGCCCACATTATGTAGTTTTAGTAAATAAGTTCTTTAATTAACACTAATCACTTTTTAATGTTATTCATAAGACACAAGCTCTTATAGGTTCATCGGTTTACTTTAGTTTTTATTTCAAACACAAATATCAATCTTTGATAAGTTCATGTTTACTTTTATTCATGCAAAAATATGAGTTTTATACCCTTCGCCAATTGCTCATACAATTTACGGTTCACCTATTCCTTTTACACCCCACTGCCTATTAATACTTATACAACTATGTACAAGTAGTTACATAAGTATTAATATTGTTGGTTGCACTTACGCTGGTTCATGGTCATGCATGCACATAATTGTAGTTATTATTTTTAATATTATTATTACTATTAGTAGTATTAGTTTTTTGTGTTATTAGCACTTAGGATCAACAATGGGAGATGATTATACTGTAGATGATATGTTTATAACAGCATCAGCTGTTAAAGGTACTACAGCTTTAGAAGATAAAAGAACTAAAACCAAAGCTGTTGCTGGTATGTTTTTTTTTTTTTTAAAGTATATGTTTTATAATTGTTTACAATAAACATGGCTTAAATTAAAAAAAATATATATATATTGTTCTGAAGAAGAAGAGTTTTTAAATAAATATTTAAAGGAAATAAATTTAATAAAAATAGGTGTAGGCTATGTAATTTTATAATATGATTCAAGTTTTTATGTGGCATATTATTTATGTTGTGATTACTTATTTGTGCATTTTATTTATAGCACCTCAATACACTGAATTTACAACAGTACACTGAATTTACAACAATGCACTGAGTTTACAACAATGCATCGAATTTAAAACAATACACTGAATTTAAAATAATACATTGAATTTACAACAATACGCTGAATTTATAACAATAAACTGAATTTACAATTATACACTTAAATTACAACAATACATTGAATTAATAATAAAATTAATACACAATAATACATTGAATTTAAAAAAATACACTGAACTTATAACAATACACTGAATTTACAACAATACGCTGAATTTAAAACTATTCTGAATCTTAGTAGATTCAGTACACTGCATTTACAACAGTACACTGAGTTTACAACAATATGCTGAATTTAAAACTACTCTGAACCTACTACAGTACACTGAATTTAAAACAGTACACTGAGTTTACAACAATACACTGAATTTACAACAATATACTGAACTTGCAACAATACACTTTACGAAAATACTAAACTTGACAATTACAATAACAAGCTAGACAAAAATTAAAAAAAAAAAAGCGCCTTTTTTTTTTTTAATTTTTGACAAGAAATTTAGAGTTAAAGAATTTGAATTTATAATAAAGCAAAAAAACTAAAAAAAAAATGAAATTAACTTAAAATTCTTGATTTTAGCACACCAACTACGTGAGAAACAGCTTAGTAGTTGCAGATACTGCTTTGAGAATCCTAAAATCGCAAAACATTTAATTGTTGCAATTGGTGTAACGGTAATTCTTTTTTTTTTTCGTTAGCTTATAGAATTTTGCTGGTTTTAAATAGTTTTTTTTTTCCTAAAGACCTATTTAGCATTACCTATAAATGCCTCTTTAACAGACGGTCATTGTTTGATAATACCAATGCAGCATATCATTGGACAATCGTTTATGGATGAAGATGTTCAACAAGAAGTTAAGGTATATAAAGCCTTAAAAGAAAAACCTTTTTTTTTTCAGAAATAATATTGTTATTTTAAAATAATTGGTTACTAAGTTTTGAATTATAGGTAATCAGTTCGCAAATTTAATGTCAGCTCTCTGCATATGCCAAGGTTTTTGCAGAGGGCTTTGTAGTATTTTGATAAATTGCCTCAGCAAAAAAGTGCCCAGGCACTTTATCAAAATAAGCGTAAATTATCATGCTTAACTTATTTTTCTTTTTGATTTTTATAGTCATGTAATCATTTCTATCGCCACTACTGTTTAATAAAAACTATTATTCATTCAATTTCATTCATGAAATTATAAAAAAATAATTTATTAAAAATGCAAAACTTTAAATCAATTTTAAAAATGTTGCTGAGCTAATGCTGAGGTACTTTTTGAGTCAAGCCCTCTGTATTTGTTTGCTGAGGCTAAAAAAGCTGAATTTCGCATGCTATATAATAATTTGTTTTCAAACACAATGTTTCTTGTCTTAATTTAAAAGCAAGTTATTTTTGTTTATTGCATTATTACAAATAAAATGAAGTAAAACAAATCAAAAGTTTAAAAGTTTGAAATTTACATTTTCAAAGTTTTATTTGGTGGTTTGCAGATCATTCAGATAATTCAGATTCATCCAGATCAGATAATCCATTAATTGAATGGGCACTCTGCTAACTGATGTCCATTTTTAGATGTTTAAATCTTTGATATTATAATTTTTCAATATAATATACAGTATTTAGTTAGTAATTCTTTGGTTTTTATATTTAAAAAAATGCCTTAAAATCTTTGTTTATTTAAAAAAAAATTATTATTCTAATTTTCAAATCTCTTTATTTTTGTAGTTTTCACATAGTTTCTTATCTTGTTTTCCTGATTCATATAATTTGCAATCTTTTAAGTTGTTTGTAAATTATTCTTTTGCTATATAAACTTTTTTCTTCCAGTAACTTCCAACTCTAATAATGTTTGCTTGCAGCCTTGTTAGAGTTAAAGATGTTTAAAAGAAAATAATAATAAAAAATATCATTTTGTTGTATCAAGGCATTTTATTGTATGTTTTTGGTTTATCAATTACTTTTTTTTTTGATTTTTTTTTTGTTTAGATGTTCAAGCGTAACTTAACATCAATGTTCTCTAATAACGTATGAAATTTAATTAATTTTGGTTTTATAATACAGGAAATTTTTTAGCTTATGACTATATAAATATTAATTGTGTAATTTATTTATTTATAAATCATTTAGTTACTTTTTTGCAATCGGGTAATAAAATTTGTAGTAAATGAAAAATAAACCTCATATTTTATAATTTATTACAATAATATGTATATATATATATATGTATATATATATATATATATATATATATATATATATATATATATATATATATATATATATATATATATATATATATATATATAATTTAAATGAAAATATACAACTTTTTATATTTTTTACTTTTTGTTATATAAATATAATTTGAATGAAAAACCACATTTCCTTGTATTTTTTTCATTTAAATTATATAAATATAATTCGATTTTACAAAGAAATATTGATCACTCTTAAGCAGACAATTATATATATATATATATATATATATATATATATATATATATACATATATATATATATATATATATATATATATATATATATATATATATATAATTTAAATGAAAATATACAACTTTTTATATTTTTTACTTTTTGTTATATAAATATAATTTGAATGAAAAACCACATTTCCTTGTATTTTTTTCATTTAAATTATATAAATATAATTCGATTTTACAAAGAAATATTGATCACTCTTAAGCAGACAATTATATATATATATATATATATATATATATATATATATATATATATATATATATATATATATATATATATATATATATATGTATATATATATATATATATATATATATATATATATATATATATATATATATATATATATATATATGTGTGTGTGTGTATATATATATATATATATATATATATATATATATATATATATATATATATATATATATATATATATATATAAAACAAACAAGCAAATAATATTTAGATTTTCTTTTCTAGGATGAAGATGTGCTCTTTATTGAGTCTTGCAAAAATATTCATCATCAAAATCATTGTATAATTGAATGCATACCTGTTCCAAAAGAAGTTGGAGAAATGGCACCTATTTATTTTAAGGTCTTTATTTTAATTTCTTTTTATGCCTCCAGATTCTTATTTTGAGAATATAGCTAATAAAGTAGGTGAAATAAGTATAAATAAATTTTTTTAAATAAATATAAATTATTTTTCAAATTTTAGCACTAACTTTTTTGTTTTATTTCATAATTTTCAGAAAGCAATAACTGAAAGTGAAAGTGAGTGGAGTCAAAATAAAAAGATTGTCACTATAACAGCAACTGGTGGAATATCTAAAGCTGTAAATTTTCTTTGTTTGAGTTTTTCTAAATATTTAAAAGAATGCACAAAATTCTAATGATTAAACCTTGTAAGAAGTATGACCCTACCTTGAAAATATAGATGTTAATGTATATTTAGTGGAATTAAATATAGATGTTAAGCAATTAATATTTTAAATTAAATATTTAAACAAATAATAATAAAAAAATGTTTTTTATAATTTTATTTAATAGTATATTTGCTAAATAAAAACATGTGTCTGTTTAACTTCGTTACCATCTAGTTCTTGGCAGCATTTCAAACCAACATTTTTTCATTTCTACACGTCTTTGTTTATCTTTGTGCAAATTTGTTCAATCTGTTCACATAATTCACCAATTATTGAGGGCTTGTCATTGTATAAAATTACTTTAAAAAGCTTCAAAAGAAAAAGTGCAGAGTAGAAAAGAGAATAAGCAGGTTATTCAATTGTACTTTATCTGCCTATTTAGCATTAAGAAAAGTTTTGATTATACCAGCTTCTTACTTGACAGAAATAATAGGCAAATGCCTCATATTTTTAAAATTACATACCACCTTGTTTAACTTGAGGTCGTAAAAACTCTTCAAGCATTTCTAAATCTAAATCACCTGTATCCAAAGTGTGGAAAAAATATAGACTAATTAGACCACCTTAGGTTATTCTATTCACAGATATTTACAGTATTCTACGTACAGATTCTACGTACAGATGTACGTACAGATATTCTACGTACAGATGTTTTTGCTGATTAAAGAATGCTTTAAAAAAATAATATAAAATAATAATTTAAAAAGTTGCTATTATAATAGTTGCTATTTTAATAGCAACTATTATAATAACAACTTTTAGGGTTGTTTAAATTATCATTCAGCTTAAATTAAATCTCTTTTGACCAAATAATTTTGTTCAGTAAATTGGGGTTGTGTTCAAACTTTGACAACATAATATCACAAAACTTCATTCTTTTGTCAAAATCATCTTCATTTAGCTCTTGTGTTTAACTTGATCTGATGATGATCAAAATCTTGATGATGATCAAAAACATTTTGAATACCACAATAATGACAGCATGCTGCAGCCCAAAACCTTTTTGAAACCAATTTCACAATAACTACAATAAATTCATCTAAAATTGATTTCAAAGTCCCAGCAACCTAGCTCAAGCAATTTTGAATGGTCAGGTTAGTTTCAGTATCACTTTGCTATTGGTTTCATAAAACCCAGTACTACCTGCCCTATACCCTGTTGTCTAGTAGGGTTTGCTTTTTTTAGGCAAAGAGTAGGAGAAATAAACTCTAACTTGAAATCTCCTACCTAGTGGCTCTTGGTTGGGTATAAACTAGCGATGTTATCTTGATAAAAATACTCATCATAGGCAGATATTAATTGAATCCAGCAACTTTCTTTTAGAAGGTTTCCTAGGCAAAGGCTTTAGAATAAGCAAAATAATTCTGTTGACCAGTCTCAAACCGATTCTTTATCCGTCAGGCTGGCATAGACGTTAACCTGTTTTACTTTTTTTTTTCTGCCTTGGAGGATGAATACTGGATCTTCTTGACTCTACTCATATTTTTTTGCTTGTGCCTCCTTGAAAGTGGTTATGCAACTTTTCCTGTTATCTACTAATTAGGGTGCAGCTCTAAAACTCAGTTTAATGGTTATGAGGCTAGCAGGTTTGTCAAACTCTGTAGTAGCTTTCAGAAAGACTGACTCCATCAACAGCAATAATATCAGAGTATTAACAATAATATCAGAGTATTAACAGTGCCATGTTGCACATGGATGGTATCCTTGTTGATGCTTTTGGTGTGGATTGTTTAGGTCACATAAGGAGCTCTAAGTTATGACATTGTGTTTATTAGCAGGATTGACACAATGCATAGCTTATATTTTAGGATGCTTTGCTCTATCTATAAATGAGTCAAGTTCTATTTAAACTTAAATCATGCTAAAAGTAACCCAAAATATTAAATATTGTTTTAATATATCTTTCACAAATATTTGTGGTCTTTGAAGTTACCTTCGTTCAGTTGAATCGTACCTCTTTGAAAATTTACCAGACTTGCTTGCTCTTTGTGAGACTAATTTAAACTTTTCTTGTCTTCGGATCTCAGTATTGATGGGTACTATCCTTTGATTCGCAAATACTCCAATAGTCACTTGCTTGGCTTGGGGGTATACTCATGTTCACCTATTTGTTGAGAAATCAGGTTTGAATTCTTTTATGTGCATCTGGTTAGCACCTCTTAACTCTCAAGACTGCACTCTTTTAGATGTGCAATCTTGAGAAGAAAAAGAAAAATAAAAGGCATAGCCAAACCTCATAAATTTGACCATGCACTTTCTCTTTACCCCACTGCCAATACGACGAGTTTATTGTATTTTTAATTTTTTTTTTTAGTTCTAGTAATTTTTTTTTCGACTTTTTTTTTTCTTTTTTGAATTTCAACTGAATAGTTTTTGTTGTTGATGATCAAGAAACTTTTTATCTATAGTCATGGTATTCATTTAACTTATGGTACCATAAAAGCAGCCATGATCAGTTATATGTCATAATGTCTTTAAAATTAGTTATATGTTCCAAAACTATATTCTTTTTATTTTTCTACTACCAAACAAATCACATGTATTTCAACCGTTAGATGCGTCTGTCTTTGGACCACAAAAAATGAGTAGTCTATAATTTTTAGGCGGTTAGCAAGAGCAGCAAAAAATAAAAATATTGTAAAGACAGCTTTCGTTTTATTAAATATTACAAACACCAAGATCAGTTATATGTCCTTATGTATTTGCAGAAACAGCAATAATAGAATTACAAAAAAGAATAAAAAACAAATGTGTAAAAAAAAGTACAAAAAGCAAACCTATTACCTTTGTAGAATGTTCAACCCAGAATAACATGAATGTGACCATAAAAGACAGAAATTAAAGAAACGTTTTTTTTTTAATTTAAAACAGTAAACATTGTTTATTATGTTTAATGCTATACTTATTTTATTTTTCAAAATTTTATATTTATTTTTGTGCTGTATATTTATGCAGTTTTTTTTTATTAAAATTATCTTAAAAGTACTTTTTAATTTAAAAGTCTTTTATATATACTAAATAAAAGTTGTTTGCGTAAAATTAATTTTTGTTTTTAAAATCTTATGTGTCGGGGAACTTTATTCCCCAACACGGTAAATTGGATTATTTAGAAACTAAAACTCATTAAAGTCACAAGATATTTTGAAATTTCCAATTGCGGTTGTAAAATTTTAAAAGTATAAATAATATTTTGTATTTCGATATTTAATTTTAGATCCCAAAAGGTCTTTCTTATTTCGCTGTAGAGTTTGGTTTAGATGGGGGATTCGGACATGTAATTGAAGATGAACGTTTGTTTCCTAGTAATTTTGGAAAGGTAAACTTTTTTTTTTGTCAAAGTTTTATTATTAGGAAGTAAAAAATGAAACTTAATAACTAATATTTTTAGGAAATAATTGGTGGTATCATGGATTTAGATGTACGGTTGTGGAGGAATCCTCCAAAAGAAAGCTTTGACCAACATAAACATAAAGTACTAAGGTTTTCTGAACAGTGGAAGCCTTTTGATTGGACACAAGATATTTAATCATAGATTATTTATTATACATTGATTTTTTTTTTCCCAATGCAAGTGTACAGGGTTATAAATGTTAAAAGAGCATATTAAAAAAAATAAAAAACAACGACTTTTACTTAAAAAATTTATTTTTGTTCTACCTAAAATTTTCTGCCTTCTTTATGGTGGTATAAAGGTGTGGTGGAGCAATTTATTGTCAATTTACTAATTTATTGTTAAAGGTGTGATTTTGCAATTTATTGTCGCTTTTTTGATCCAAAATTGAAAAAACTACATTAGTGAAGTTATTTTTCTGAAAAAAATATCTTTCATTAAGTTATATTAAAACAAGTTTGGTTCAATTCGCCAAAGTTTTAAAATGTTAACGTAAAATATCGACAGCCTAAATCTAAAGTGAACTAAATCATTTTTTTATATTTTGAGATAATCGCATGTAACTATAGCTTGGGTGAATGAAAATGAGCAATTGCTTTTATTCAGTAATTGCTTAGCTTTACGTAAAATAAAAAAATTCGAGTAATTTTACTTAAATTTTTTCTCACGTAAAGCTGAACAATTACTCGGCTTTACGTGAATAAATATTTGAACAACTTTCCTCAAATTTTTGTTCACGTAAAGCTGACCATTAATCTAAAAACGCTGAGTAAGGGATCGTTCATAAATTACGCAACGCTAAATTTATTTAAATAACAAAAGTACGAGATTTTAAGCTTCTCAGCGTAGTTAAGGAGAGATCCGAAGAAAAATATAGCTTTTAGGCCCTTTCGCTTTCAAAAAAAGCCGTTTTATTTTTTGCGCGTTTGAATTGATTTATTCTAAAAAAAAAATTACGAAGCTCGTTGTTTTATTTTGTTTACAAAGATTCGGTGATTTTATTATCTACGAGTTTGAAGTTTTACCTTAATACTATAAGCCAGTAGTTATACAAAAGCTGAAACGTTTTTGTTTAGTAATTTATTCAAGCGACTTTAAAGAGATTGTGGTAGTAAATTGCTATGTGTGAAAACTAATGTGAAAACTTCGATTTTAACGCTTTTACTGTTTACGGAAAGATAAAATGAGAGGTTTTGTAAGCAAGAACTTTTTACTTTCGAATATAAAATGCATTTTTGGAATGTAATCACTTAGCACACTTTGTTTCAGCTGTTTTTATGACGCTGCCCCATCGCGTTTTATGTATTTTAGTGGTAGTTTTGTTTTGCTTGATGCTTTGTTTAAAAAAAGATTTATAAAAAAATAATAAATTATATAAGAAAAGCTTAAATTCTACTTTTTTTTAAATATATAATAGTAATAGTCGAAAATAAGCGGAAAACACAAAAAATTGAAGTTTAAAAATGAAGTTAAAAATTGAAGTAAAAAAATTTTTGTTTTTAAGAAATGCAAATCGTTCGGATCTCTCCTTAACTACGTTGAGTTCTCTTACGCGGCAATTTTCATTAAACTTAGAACCATAAATTAAGTCTTTAAGAAAAATCGAAATTATTTTAAATAGATAGAAATACTTTATATTTTAAAGGTTTTCAAGATTCAGTTTTTTGTTATTTTAGTATTTGTCAAGTTTATACATGTATTTCAAAGTTTTAATATAACTTTTGCTTTATGTAGGGTAGAGCGGGGCATATCAGGACAGTGGGAGCATATCGAGACTTATGTTATGCCTGAAACCTTAGGCCTTATATTGAGGCTATTAAAATTTTTTTTTTTTTGATTTTTTTAATGAAACATTTTAAATCATTGTTTTATTGTAAAAATTTTCTGAAGTACCAAAATCCGTTAAAATTTCTAGTTCGCTTTATTTAAAAAAAGTTTATATTTTTTAGACATTATTTTTTAGCCTCTTTTTGAATCTGGTGTTTAAGATTTATATAGAATTAAACTTTTTGAATAGCATTAACTTCAATAAAATGACTTTTGTGGGGCGTATCGAGAGCTTATTGTCTCGAGAACCTGTTGTTTATATAATTTACTTTATTACTATCATTATATAATGTCGTTTACAATTTGATGATTTTATTTTTAATATAAAATATTATTTTTCTTATTTAGAAAATCAATATAAGAAAGAAATTCATAAAAATTGATGGTTTTACTTAACTTTTATTAAGTGTTTAATGTAAATAACGATGATAAGAAATTATATAAGAAAGACCTCCCTAAATTTTCTTGGTTTCCTCCTTGATTAAAATGTATCATTTATCGTTAATAAATGATAAAATGGCACTAAAATGGCTGATATCATACTTGCACAATCGCTTGGAAATTACAATAAGGCTTACCCAGCAGAACATCAAAAAAACGAGGATAAAGTGCAGAACATAAAAAAAAACAAAAAAAAACGAGGATAAATTGCAGAACATAAAAAAAACGAGTAAAAACTGCAGAACATAAAAAAAAACGAGTATAAACTGCAGAACATAAAAAAAAAACGAGGATAAACTGCAGAACATAAAAAAAAACACGAAACGAGGAAAAACGAGGAAACTGCAGATTCTACTTTAGGTCTTGAGCCCTTGAGGAAACTAGTCTGAAGAACCAAAGCCTCGTACCTTTAAGTCCGCTGAAAACCTAAAAACTACAAACTTTTATATATACAGAAAAGTGATAGCCTATCAATTAATAATTTCACAGAATATTTCTTTCTTTAAATAAGTTTTTATATAATTATATATAAAAACATTTAAATCCACTATTTACTTGGAGATAATATATTTTGTGGTTTTATTAAAGACCTACAAAAGCCTAAAATAATTTGAAATAAAAAATATTAGGAATAATACTAGATAGCAATATATTGTAGTCAAGATATGAAATCCTTCTACTGTATGAAGATTTTATTTTCAAGTACAAAATGCAATAGACTTCGATACCCATTTAATTTCTGGGTATTTAAAGGAAGAGGGGTATTTAAAGAAAAAAACTTAAGTGAGGTTTAAACTTAAAACTTTAATACCATTACAACTTCAAACACAAAAAACAAAAAAAAACTTAAGATAATTCTATACAAAAATTTACATTCCATTATAGGCTGGACCACCCCCGCATTCTGGAACAACCCAGTTAATATTTTGAGTTGGATCTTTGATATCGCAAGTTTTGCAATGAACACAGTTTTGTGCATTAATTTGTAAGCGTTTACCATTGTTTATTTCGTCATCAACATATTCATATACACCGGCAGGACAAAAGCGTTGTTCAGGACCATCATATATTTTTAAGTTAACATTTAACGGAACATCGTCATTTTTCAAAGTCAAATGAGGCGGTTCATCGCTGTTATGATTGGTACCACTAAGAGTTACTGATGAGAGTAAATCAAAACTCACTTTTCCGTCGGGTTTAGGGTAATTAATGACTTGAGATTGAGCTGCAGGTTTTAATTTTTTTGCATCAGTTCCTTTATGTTTCAATGTAAATGGTTCACGACCACCCAAAAAATAATACATACCCGTGTATAAAACGGTTCCCCATATTCCAAGGGGAGTTTCAAAAGAAGGACGTATATTACGAACAGCATAAAGCTCTTTAAACAACCCACTCTTTTTAAATCTCTCATCGTAGCTATCGGGCGTTAATCCTACAAATATATAAATCAAAAATAAACAAATCAAGAAAATAAAAACATAAAAGCAATACATTTAACACTTTTTTAGCTCTTGCAAAGCTAGTTACCTGTTACACCATCATCCTTTGCACCTGAAATAGTCTCAAATACTGCCTCGGCTGCAAGCATACCGCTTTTCATTGCACCATGAGTACCTTTTATTTTTGCAACATTCATAAAACCTGCACTGCAGCCTATCACACAACCACCAGGAAACGAAAGTTTTGGAAGAGACTGAAAATTAAATACGAATTAAAAAACTGTTATTTATTATACAGTACTAATCTAGAACATTTAAAACAGAAGTTTAACTTTAAGTTTTCCATATTTATTATTTAGACAAATGTTTTTAACTTTCACCCGTATTAGTTTGAAAGTATATTAAAGATATACCTGGTATCCACCTTCATTTAATGCACGTGCTCCGTAACCTATTCGGGTACCTCCTTCAAAAGTTGGACGAATAGAAGGATGAGTTTTCCAACGCTGTAAATTGAAATAGTTTAATAATTAAGTTAAAAATTAACCAGGACCATGAAAACTTGATACTTCATTGAAATTATAAACTTTTGTTGTTTGCAGTTAAATATAACCTTAGAGATTATATTTAACTGCAAACCATTGTTGGTAGGAACTTACGTAAAAAAATCTATGTAATACCAAGTGCACCAAATAGTTTTACAAACAATCTATAAAAATTAAAACCTAACATTTTTACATTTAACCATTCGTTGAATTCAGATCAGAAAACCAATTACTAACATAAAAAAAGAATGCTAAAATTTTTGAGAGATGTCAGCTGCAAACTTTCCAAGATGGAAAAGATATCTGAATTGTTAATCAAAATGAGATGCTCTGATTCCGTCAGAGTTTGCACGAAAAACACAATTATTTAAAGCAGACAAATGGAAAAACAGAAGTTGACAGATGGAAAGACAGAAGTAGACAGATGGAAAGCAACTGAGTTAAAACATATCCTTTTATATACTGGTTCGGTTGTTCTAAAAGATATTCTTAGTCTAAATACTTATTATCACTTTCTTGCGCTGCCTATTTTAATGTATATATACTGAACTGAAAATAAAAAAAGAGTGAAAAAAAGAGTGTTTTTGCTAAGGTACGCTAATGAACTAAAAAAAGGCAAGTGATTGATACATTGTGTGTATAATATGTTGATAACTTGTTACACCTTTTAATCTAATTTTAACAAGTTGTCTTTTTTTCTGTGTGAAAATTTTTTACGATCTTTAAAACATTAAGTTACCTAATTTTGGTTAAGGTAATTAAATGAATAGATGAAATTAAACTTGCAGAAGGAAAAAAAAAGAATACAATTCTTTTATCTGGAGCTATCTACCTACCTATCTGAAGCGGATCTTCGAATGATGCCTTTTCCCTTTTAGACAAGGTGCAGAAACGCATTGTAAACATAGTTAGACCTGCACTTGCAGCCAATCTTTAACCATTCTAATATCGCTGTTGCTTCTCTTTCTCTTTTCTATAAATACTATAATGGGCGTTGCTCTAAAGAGCTAGCGCCTCTTGTGCCATCTACTAAAATTCATTCCCGTTTACTCGCCATTCAATTAAGTCTCATCCTTTACTGTGACTTTTTAAACTTTATAAACGTTTGCTTTATAAACTTCAACTTTTTTCTTCCAGTAACTTCCAACTTTAACAGTGGTTGCTTGCAGTCTTGTTGAAAGTAAAGAGGTTTAAAAGATAAATAAATAAAAAGCTGTAATATGATTTTAAAATAATTTCTTTATAATACATTAGTTTTTTGTTTTTCTTTTCACCAGAAAGTACAAATTACCCTAAGTTTACTTTAGTGTTATAAAAATAGATAATAAAATCATCCATGTTGTTATAGAGTAGCACGATTGTTGTTAAAAAAATGTTTGATTTAGAAAAATATTTTTAAGTGGGGAAAAAAACCCATTATTTAATATTTTTAAAATAATTTTTATACAATTTAGGCTGACCTACTTTTGAAGAAATTTAAATGTTATGAGTTGTGCTTGGTTCTTGAAATCACCAATAACTCTTTACAATCATTCTTAGTTCAAACAAATCCTATTATGTAAGAGCTATGACAGGTCGAAAATGCTTAGCTTAGCATCTACAAATTACCAATTATTATATAAAATTTCAATTGAAATCAAAGTAAATTTTTCTTAAAGAATGTTTGCCTAAAGTTTATTACATCTAGAGTTCATGGTCATCAACCGCATATCTAAGTTTATCGACAACGAAGATGAAGACCTTAACATTACTCAGCAAAAAAATTATCTGTTATTTAAACTCAGCAAAAATTATCTGTTAATTAAATCAGCAAAAATTATCTGCTAATTAAATCTGTTAATTAAATCAGCAAATTTTCAAAATCAAACAAACAAAAAACTCATTGAAAAATAGAGCTTCTATGTTTCCTATTTAGGTTGTTCTTGTTTTTCCATATTAATATAAGAATAATATACAAATAACAAATAAAACATTCCAGACATTTTTGATTAAATTAAGAGTTTTGCAATCTCTTAAAAGATGCCCGGAATTTTATTAAATCAAATTTTAAACTTTGTGTTTACATTCGATTTAATAAATTGAATTAAACTTTGTGTTTGGTTTTTTTTGAGTTTTATTTTTGTTTTGTATCCAATAAATTATTATTTTTTGTTTAATATATTGAAAATTATAATTTTCTACTTTAACTTAATTTAAATTGTATTTTAAATAATGTTATTTAATAATTTATAACCAGAATTTTTCAAATCATTTTGAAAAAGATTTTTAAACATAATTCATAACCATAATAGATAAAAAAAATTTCACGTTTAATCTATATGTATTGATTTTTTTTAGATTTAAAGTAATATTTTTTATAATTAAAAATGTCAATGAGAAATGGGAAAATAAAGGCTGGAAAATGTGAGGAAGTAACTGAAGTGTGAACTTGTGAAGGAAGTAACTGAAGTGTGAACTTGTGAAGGAAGTAACTGAAGTGTGAACTTGTGAAGGAAGTAACTGAAGTGTGAACTTGTGAAGGAAGTAACTAGAGTGTGAACTTGAAATTCAAATGAACAAACTTGTTTTTCCAAGCAGCGGCCTTGTTCATAAAGGTTTGTGTTTCGGATTTAAAGAGTTGAGAGAGAGAGTTGTAACCACAATAAGGTGATTACAACTCCTCGAAAGCCTCCTCCACTGTAGTGGCCTTTTCAGCCTTGGAAGGTGAAAAGGCCACTACAGTCTCAATCTGTAAAAACATTTGAATATAAATTATGATAATGTATTTCCTAAGTAAATCTGCTCTGATAGCTGTTATTGTTGGTTATAATATTTATTAATAATTTAATTGATAATAATAGTTAATAATAATTTAGTTTATATTATAACAATTATAATGTTAATTTTGGTTATAATAAAAAATAAAAAAATGTTTTTAATGCCAACCCTGGCTTAACTTCTATGATACATTTTACAGAGTTGTAGGGTTGAGATGAGGAAAGGAGAAGGGAGGAGAGGAGCGAATGAGGAATGGGACAAGTGAAGGACTGAGAGAATGGTTAAGATGAGCAGAGGACTGAGAGAAGGGTTGGGACGAGTGGAGGACTGAGAGAAAGGGTTGGGACAAATGGAGGACTGAGAGAAAGGGTTGGGACGAGTGTAGGACTGAGAGAAAGGGTTGGGACGAGTGGAGGACTGAGAGAAGGGTTGAGATGAGTGGAGGACTGAGAGGATGAGTGGAGAAGAGTGAAGAAGAGTGGAGAAAAAAACAACATTGAACAAAAAAAAAAAGTTATAAAAAATCAAGTTCATAAATTTCTAAAAAGTACTTGCAAATGAAATAAGTTAATTGCAAACTTTTTTTAAAATCATGCAAGATAATTATTACTACTTTTAGTAGTTATTATTGAGAAAAATATTTCTTAATACACTGAAACTAAAAATAATGTGCGAAAAATTTTATAAATATAAGAATAATTTAAAGGAAACAAGATTACTTGAAATTCCTGGTATGGACTCAAATAAGGGTTCTTGTAGTCTAAACCAACCTTTAAAATAAAAGTAAATCGAACATGTGTTTTTAAATAAGAATGACAATAAAAAAAAAAACTATGGTAGTATTAAACAAAAATTAAAAGATAATTAGCAATCAATTATAAAATAGCAACTACATAAATGGTAAACGACAACTATGTACTGTGTAATGCAAAAATTATTATGCAAATTATTAACTGACAACAAATCCAGCTGATACAAGTGGCCCTTCATCTAAGTGATACAAAAAAGAACCTCCATAAGTATCTTTTGGCTAAATGATATTAAAAAAATATATATAAATGAAAAAAAACATAACATGTTACATACAAAGCTACTGTAAAATTGTTAATTATTAAAAAATATATTTTTTATCTTTTTATAAATAAACATACCAACGGCCAACCTGCTGTATGTATAACAAGTCCAGGTTGATGTTTACTTGGTTCAATTTCCCATAACTGTACATTAAAAAATAAAGTATATAAAGATTGATAATTAATAACAGTGTATATAATATCGGTAAATAAAATCAAAATGCATAATTTTATTACTAATAATAAAATTGATCATTATTGGTACATTTGGTAGAAAATTATTTGCAAAAAATCCAAGAAACCACAATCATCCATCCAATAAGAAACAATTAAAAAAAAAAAAGTAAAAAAAAAGAGTTATAAGTAGTAAACAAAAGAAAAAAAAATTAAAAAAAAAAGAAGTAGGAAAAAAGAATTTGAAAAAGAAATTATTAGAGTTTTAATATAAAATAAATTTCAAACCATTAAATTAAATTAATCAATTTAAATTATCATTTAACTAACCAATTTAAATCAACATTTAACATGTTAATTTCAATTCCTCAAGTTTTTCAAAAAAATTTTATTGTTGCTAGTGTTTTCTCTGTTTGTCTAATATCAGAAATTAGTACCTGCTGTCAGTTTTTCTGTTTTTGTATTTATATTTTTTCATGATTTAAGAATACTTTTAAGTGCTAGGGAACATACTAATATTTCAAAAGTTTCATCATCAGGATGAGCGGACATCTGTAAAAAATGATAAAATATGCTAGAAAAATATAAAAGGAAAACTATTCAAGAAACTTTCTTTATTTTTGGCTACTGAAACCAGTTGCTAGAGTTTTTTTATCAAGTTAAAATTATGAAAGCAGATAGAACTAATTGCTATATGAAAGTAGATATTTATCTAATTTTATAAAAAAAAAAATTCAGTTTTGCAGCTTTTAAAAGTTGCTGTAAAGCTATTTGTGTTTTTATACAGCCAATATAACATTAGATGTCAAACACAACAAAACACCTTAGCAACAACTTAAGGATAAATATTTTAGATAAAAAAGGGAAATACTATGTCAGATGTTCTACATCTTTTTATGTTCCAAACAACTTGAATAATAATAACAGTAAAGTTTCCTTTAGATTATCACCATTTACAAAACTCATTCTGGTTTTAATACATTCTTGAGAGTAATTAAAATAACAACAACTTGTGTTTTAAAAAGGATAATAATTAAAAAAAAATAGGAAAATATTGAAAACTTTGTATGGAAAAAAATTAATTTGTCAAAACTACTCATAACAAATATTTAAAAACTGTGTATGACCATCTTATAACTGTTTTCCCAACATGTGTTGAACCAGAATGTCTGACTTGATGCTGGTATTATAATAAAAATAAATAAAAAAAAGTGACAAAAGCACAGGTGATTTATACTTATTGAGAGCACATTTTCAAAAAGATGATAAATTGAGAACTACTTTATTTTGTTTTATTTTAATAACTAAGTTATTTTTATTCTGTGACTTTTAAGTTGTAGTAAATATGTTTTATTTTTATTAAAACTAAAAATAATAAAATATGTTTTGCATTCTGCAAACTTTAAATTTTTTATTAATAATATTGTTTTTCATTATCAGAAAAATATTTCAATATTATTTCATTTCAGAAAAATATTCGAAACAGCGAAAGACTGGTAATCAGCAAAGGATATTTAGAAAGTTACCAGTTATGAAAAAACTGAATAATATTGCAATCCCTAATTGATAATAGAAAAGAAATCAAAATTAAAATTTGAAATATTAAAAATTGCCTCTTTGAGTCCGATACCATAGGTTTGTGCACACGAGTTTTCTCGCAACAAAAATTTATTAATGATCTGCTTTGTAAGATGGCCATGACATCCTTCTGCGAAAATAGTAATCTTTGCATGTAGTTCCATGCCTCTTTCAAAGGTATCCTAAAAATTTAATGATTATATAACAAGATATTTATAACTGGATATGTAAAGTCACTAAAAATCTTTTTTTTTATGACATCACCTTCGGAGATCCATCTTTGTGAATACCAACATCTGAAGTGGCTATACCCTTGACACTTCCATTTTCATGATATAATATCTGAAAAAATAAAACAAAGTGATAATCTAAATACAGTTAAATATAAAAGTGGTGATAACTTATTAAATATTCTTACTTCACTTGCTGGAATTCCTGGATAAATTTCAACTCCAAGACTTTCTGCTTGTTCTCCTAACCATCTTACAAAATTTCCCAAACGAACCAAATAATTACCATGATTGTACATAGGCAACCCTAATCAAAAAACAAAAATATTTAATCAATAAACAAGAAACTCTCACCAACAATCAGTTTTGGCTGGTGGCGCGTGCAAAGTATGCAATGCACACAGGCAGCAAATTTCTAGGGGCAACAAATTTTAAGATCAACAGTAATTATTTGGCGTGATGTATTGAACAAAATAAACTAAACAAACAAAATTATACAATCAATTTCATCAAATGTTAAAATTTCCATAGAAGCATTGGAATCCACTGTAACATTTTTAAAATCCATTTACAATCAGACTAAACTTGATAAGTACTTTACCACAGCACAAGTTTTGGCAACAAATTCAGATCTCACATCTGTCAACTGAAAGAGTCAGGAAGAAAAAAAGTTTTCTGACTGACTGGTAAAGAGGTTTCATGGAGACACATTCCAAACAGTTGTCACTTTGTAAACCAGAGGCTACATTAGTTGCTTGTGCCATGGGCGTTAACCAATTGGATGTGGATTTTTTTTTTCTTGACTGAAAGAAGTTATGGATACACCAAGCCACATGTTGAAAATATCTAGAATTTTGACGAAAACAGTATTTCTACAGTTCAAAAGTGTCTCTCTAAATTGGTTTCAAGCAAAGGAAATAGACAAATTGCTTCACTCACTTCAACTGATAGAGGTCAGCTTGTCACAACTGTTATTTGTTCTTCAGCAAGTGGTAGGTACATGCCACCCATGATGAATTTCCTTGTAAACAAATGAAGCCAGAACTTATGGATGGAGCACCACCAGGTACCTGAGCCGAATGTCACTCAAGTGGGTAGATATAAAAAGAATCATTTATTGTTTGGTGAAGAAAATTTATTCAAAATTCAGGGGCCAAAATAAGCTCTCCAGTTCTACTTATTTTAGATGTACATAAATCTCACACTAAAAGTATTAAAAAGTATTGAATTGATTAACATTGCAAGAGAGAATGATATAATTCTTCTGTGTTTGCCTCTTGCACACATCAAATGCAACCTTTAAATTTGGCTTTTATGAAGCAGCTCAGTCTACCTGGAAGCTGCCACAATGATAAATGCCATAAACAGCTTTCAAAAAGGCATATAGGCCAGTTAATAGAAATGTTTTTTCTAAAGCAAAAACTACTAATATTATTTCATTGAAACAAACCCTGTTTGTTTCAATGAAATAATATTAGTGGGACAAAATGTTTTTTATTCAAAGATTTTTATTTAATGCTATTGATTTTTTCTTTTGTCAGATAATAGTTTGTGTTGTATTTCTGTCAATTTAAAAAAAATGATAAAAAGACAACACAAACTACTATCTGACAAATAAAAATTTTAATTATTTTTGCCAGTTTTTTGATGACTTTTCCTTAAGTACCCCATTATACCCCAGTTTCCCCTATATATGTATATATGTATATATGTATATATATATATATATATATATATATATATATATATATATATATATATATATATATATATATATACACATATATATACAAAGCCTGATAGCAAATTTATATAAAAAAACATTGTCGAATCACAATTTTAACAATATGTAAAATTCCATTTTTTGTTAAAAACCGAAATATTTTACATTTTCCTAAAAAAATACAAAAATGTGTCAAAAAATATGTATTTCAAGAATAATAAATTAAATATTTTAAATAATAAATTTTTAACTGGGACTTGGAAAGATCTTTTTTAAGCTACTTTCTATCAGCATTAAATTTTGTTGCATATTGTCAGATTTATATCCACCTAAAAAGTCCTGAATAAGGCTTATGTTTCTTTCTGCACAATCGTTGTTACAAGTCAAATTTTTAACAAATTTTTTGAATAAATCTAACGACTTCGGGGCCCTTTCCTTCCTCCACAGCTCTACTTTACCATAGAAGACTTCTGCAATTTTTAACAAAAGCTAACTTTCTTGAACCTACCAGTTCCCAAAACTCAGTGGACTCCGATATGATTGGTAGCTCAGATTTTTAATCTTGAACTTGTCAAAAACGTTATACTGAACTAATCTATCCAACAACTCTTTTTTTACTTCTTGCTCTAAATCTTCATCAGCCAGAGCGCCAATTGCTCAGTCAAGTACCAGTTATATCTTGGCATACAAGCAACCAATGCTGAACCAAGATTAGGATGATTTTCTTTGATGCAAAAAGGATTCTTGAAAGTAGCAAGATCATTGAAGGGTGAACTTGCAACCAAATACGACTTTAGAAACAAAGGTGCATGCCAGACAGATATGAAAAGGGCTGCTGTCTCTATTATCTTTTTTTCCACTTTGCTCATAATCGTGGTGATCCTATATGTTATTCTCAGGGTAAAAATGTATAAACCATCAGCCATAAACCTAAAGAGTAAGATTTTGTCACCAATAATACTTGTTTATTATATTTTTTTTATTTACACATTATTATACTTTTTTTTTTCAATATACTGTACCTAGCTTCATGGCAAGCTCCAGGTTGATGAAAATACAGTCCAGGTACTTCTCCTCCCAAATAGAAAACAAAAAGCTCGCATAGTTTCCTACGATCACTCCTCACAAAAGTTTTTAAGGTAAGGGCTTCTTTTCCAAACTCCAGAGCTTTCTTAGCAATTTCATAAAGGGGTGATTCAACCTGAAATTGATTCAAATGAAACCTAACTATATCTACCATCTTGTCAACCTAGATCTACCATCTTGTCAACCTCTTTCTTGAAAAAACACCAATTTTTCTGGAGTTTGACATACAGCCCTTTTCTTAGGCCCTTCGTCTTTTCTCCAGTCAAAGCTTCCATAAAACCTGAGACGTGTATTTCTAGCATATGTCTTCTACAGAGAAACCAAAAGTTGTTATCCTTAACTCCAAAGAATGGAGCTAAGGATAACAACTGCATCAGAATGTATTCCAGTATTGGATGCAGTAGTGTCATAGTAAACAGCAAATATTTGATCTACGATGTCATAGTATTCTAGCAGATTCAAAATTGCTTCAGGCTGGTCACTACCTTTAGAACTTGGTGTCTAAACAAAACCTAGCAGTATATCCCTTGTGTCATCTATATCAGGGGATTGACCGCTATTCTTTCTACACAAACAGTTGTTTTTAGATCTTCTTCAATCAGTTTTATCCTTTTTCCATCAAAATGAACACATAGCTTTTTTCCCTTTAGAGTAGCTAAAATTTCTAGCCTGAGCTAATCTCCTAATATCTCAATCTTCTTGAATCTTTTTCTATGGACTGTACTTCTTGATAGATTAATATCTTCTAGATTTACACCAGCTTATTGCAAATAGCAGCTACTAATGAAGTTTGTGGGCGTATACCTACTCTGTATCGGGCAGAAACTGCAGCAGTACATTCAGATCTTCAGCAGTACACCAGATCTTCAGCACTTATACTTATCTTTATCTTAGATTTAGTAGAATGACTGAATCTATTAGAATGACTAAATCTATTAGAATGACTGAATCTATTAGGTAAATTTTTATCATTTGAAGAATCTAAACTAAGTTTTGATT